TGCAAGTATTATGAATAGGAACGACGAGCATTAAAGAATTAAGCTTTTTCGTCCTTCGAAAGAAATAAGTATAAAGTAAAGCGTTGACCTCGCGGAGTTACTGCAAAGAATACACATCGCCTATCCACAATTTTTAAGAACTTGCATCTATGCATTTGAGTGATTTTGCAGCAATTAGCGCTTACTGTTTCATTTGAAAATTGAGGTCATGGGGCTGATTATAAGAGCGCAATCAAATAATGTGATTACTGCATTTTAAAGTGATAGCAAAGTATTGGAGCACACCATACTTTGTCCTGTACGGTAGAGAAACAAAAATGACTAAGACGTCGTTGAAGCAAATTTTCGATGCCATTAGCAATCGCTAAGGAGCTTGCTGTAAATGATTCTTAATGACACTGAACAGATGATTTGATAATTATGTTTTTTCATCACTAAAAAAAACACCAATTAGCTCCTCTAGATAAAAGAATTGTCATCAAATCAACGATTTACTTCAGAAATCATAATCGGCTAAAAATCTGGCTGAAAGACGTTAACGAAACATTTGCCATGACCGAATATTATATGCAGAGAAGATGATCAGAATGAAGTTCCGAATTATGAAGCCTACAGAAAGGCATGTGATCTAAGGGCCCTGGAAATGAGAACTATGAGTACTAAAGGGAGGTAGTACTCCCTTTTGTAGAAAATCCAAATTTAACGTTTTTGGTTTGAGTTCACAAGCATCATGCTGATAATTATAGCGCGGTCTTGTATTTACATATTTAGACAGAAATTCACAGCATGTTATCAAAAAAGCCACGAATTCCGGAGAGGAATGAGTTTTGGGCATTCATTCATAAAGCCTTGAGCGAAGTAAGTATTTGCATCTACGATACTCTACTTGGAAAACGTTTCACAGCTAACCTTTTGGTAAAAAATAATCTTGTGCATCATTTTCATGAAATACCATGCTTTAAGCGTTAAAATTCATTTAATGGCGATGCAACTAGGATGATTGTTGTATAATATGATGAAGCAAAGACTTTCGCCATGTCGATTGGTAAAATCATCTGAAAGCTTCGAAATCATCGTGAAATTGCCATTCGACACATTTGGTCACAAGCAATGGACACACTTGTCACGAGTTGCAGACTTGGTTCAAGGATCAACATAAGTTTTTTTGTTACATTAACAGTCAAAGGATTTTCCATCTAATTTCCAAATCTGATTACACATATGCGATTAAAAGAAGTACCCGCATATGACTGATACAGGACTTTATTTGTAAGTGTTTAAAAGGAAAGAGTGTTTGGTCGGTCATACGCTTTCGATTTCTCGCTTCAAATGTTGTAGGACTTGCCTTCCACAAATATTCCTATTGGGACCATGGAGGTAAGCCCTCGCAGAAGCCATTACAGTTAACATAACATAACCCTATTCTGTAGCCGTTTATACAATGCTGAGGAAAAATATTATGTGATAGGCAAAACAATGTTGACCTTTCCTTTTCTGATGTCTTATTATAGCCTTTATTTGAAAAGGTGCATTTTTATTATAAGTTCAAAGTTAACAGTGAATTTCTCTCTTTTTACGCTCCTACTGCTTTGCTTCTTGGCCAGCACAGAGGCACTCACGTGTGAACTTCCGATCCTCTAGTGAATGCAGCTTTCCTTCATGCAGAGTAGAGGTTAACACTTTTAGAGCTTGCAGATTGGTACAAAAGTTTTTGTATGTAATGCAAGAATTCCGACACTTAAGTGATTATTAAAACAACTTCCTCTTCCGCTTCTTCTCTCCTCTTCTAGATTCCGAAAGACCAAAGGAATCCCGCCTTGTAAGAAATAAAAGAAAAAGGTTTTTTGAAATATTCTGTTTCGTTCCTTCGCTTAGACGGAGTAAAGGAGCTCAGAACTTTCTTCGGAACTCCTCAGTAAGGAAGGAGAGTTCATGAGCCTATGTATATTTCAAAATAGTTTTATGATAAAATTTTTAAATGTTGTTGAAATAGTTAAAATTTAACAACTTACAGTTTCTATACTCCGTCTTTTATTATATATATAATACATTAGTAATATATTATATCATATATGTTGATTATATACTTATAGTATTGATCATATTGGAAGACTAAAGGATAATATGAAATATGTTTGTGTTTTCGTAGTTAAATTTATTTATTATGATATTAATTATTTTGATAGACTATCTTACTAAATTGGTTGTTTGTAGTAGATGTACATTGAAATAACTATATTGATTAATGATCCGTGATATTGATTTTGTATGAAATAGCTCAATTAAAGAGTGGTATAAGATATATATTATATAATTAACTATAATTTGTGTAAATTTTGATGTAGAATGTGTAATAATTTTTTAATTTTATCGTAATTGTAAAATTCTTATATAGTATAAAATTATTTTTATGTAAGCATTTGAAAATATTTGAGTAAATCATGTTTTCACTGTATCTATTGGAAATAAAAATAAGTAAGTTTTGTAACTGCAGTATTTTTGACAAAATCGTCAAGATAAGTGCAATTACGGGCAACTCTTAAAGTTTCTGTGTAAACAATTGCGTTTTTGATGTGACTGGATACACCAGAAGTAATGTGTATAAATCTTTTTAACTGAAAAGTGAAACTATCAGTTTTGTTATACATTTTCGTTATGATTCTGTTATTAATGATTGTAATATGTAAGTCCACTTTATAGGTTTTGTAGGGTGAGGTTTGCACTATCACAACTTGGTTTTGCCGTACCGATCCATTGAGGCACCGCCGAGATCTAGGCTCTTGAAGAAACAGGTAAAATACCAATTTTCAAGATTCAACAGCTCATAACGTCTTCAAAATTGCATGAATGTTGCAACTTCATTGGTTGGATTCTTCTCATCAAAACTTTCAGATGACATATAATATGTGGAAGGTCAGTGATTTTTGCGGTTCTAACCCTTTTCATCCCAAAATCTCCACCTCGACCATATTAATGTATTGGCTGGAGGCCGCCAGTGAAGACGTTGTGATCCACTCCGGGCATATGCCGTGAGAGGCACGAAACCCCCACATACTAAATATCATCTGCTCTTGATGAGAAGAATCTAACCTTCAAAGTCGCAACACGATTCATGCAATTCTGGTAAAGTTATGAGCTGTTGAATCTTGAAAAGCGGTTTCTTGCCTGTTTTTTCAAGAGCCTAGATCTCGGCGGTGTCTCAATGGATGGGTACGGCTAAAAAAAGTTCTGATAGTGCAAGCATCACCCTACAAAACCTATGAAGCCGCAACATTGCACATCTTCACATCCCATCAGATTTATAGGAGTGTGAACGTCAGTTGTAACAAAACAAAAATCGCTAGAATCGCTTAATTTTTCAAAATTCTCCTCCACTGCAATACAGAGGGAGTCATTTAGTTGAAAGATGTCAAATACTCATAAATATTAATAAAAAAATTCTTAATAATAAAGTCTGGAGAACTGCGTAGCAGGGTTTTCACGCTTGCTAATTTTACTACATGTTTTCGAGTTTGTTGATCGTCTCAATGGTACAATCACATTCTGAATTAAGAAGGCAAAAGTTGCCGGATATTACTATTAGGGTGATCACTAAAATATGGGACACCTAGAGAATAAATGTAGATTTCTCAAAAAAGAAAAATGATTAAACTTCCCAATTTTGATAGATGTTAGAATAGATTATTTTCTTTTAGAAAATACCTATATAAGGTCATTTACATAATTAATTTTTATAGTGCCTGAAATGCAAAGTTAGTCATTTTGACAAGTTATAAACTTTGGTCAGTATCTGCGCAGTGAAACATGTGAGACTACCCAAAGTACCACTGCTGGTGTGGGTGGTGGGACAGTCACTAAACCCACGACAGCTTGATGGCCTCAACTTTCAAAATCAGGAGATATAGCCATCAGTAGCTTCGAGAACAAAGATACGCGTTATTCAATTCTTTGCAGGTGAACGCATGTCCTATGAATACCATGTAAAAGAGCTTTTTACGCTCTATCCATCCCTATGCAGCTTACCTCATATTCTATCAATCTTCGGAAAATATAGATCAAAACTTCATTTATTGGTTTTGTTGCGCCGAAAATCGCAATTTCAGGTGTTTCGCTTTTTTTACCCAAAAACAGGAAGAAATCTTGTATGTTTAATATATTTTTTGAAAGAGCATGAACAGCTCTTTTGAATGATGTATCAATTGCTCTATAACTTTGCGGTATGGCAGCGCAAGAATGAGCGAGGTTCAAAAAACCCTGTTCGAGTTCTTCAGGGCGCCACGCATAGGGTTGTGGGAGAGGAGCGTTGACGTTTTGCCAGAATAATAGTCAAAGGTCGCTTATATAAGCGGCGTTTACGTTGCAGCCTGCTTGTTGTTGATCGAGACAAGAAATTTCAAAATTTGACAAAAATCAAGCTGCCCCATTTTTTAGTGATCACCCTAATACTTATTAATCAAGCATTACAGTGAGATGCTATCCATATCTGAAGTCTGAGACTTTGATTAATCTATTTTGAAAGCTTTTGGCTTGCTTCTTCTATTTTGCTTGGCAAAATATGGCTTTCAATATCATAGAACCCTTCTTGATGTTCCTACCATTATGCTCTAATGAAGAGCGATAGGAAATTCGCTCGTACTAAGTCTAAGTTGAAGCCAGCTCTACAGAATAGTGCCTAAAATTCGATGAAGACATGAAAGCTAGTGACGATCAGACTGTTTGATTTACACATACGGACACGTATATCGTGGAATAGCAAGCTTTAATGAAGACAGAGTTGTGTATATTGGGCACAGCTTTGTAACGTTTCATTTTTCACATAATCTGCGACATTGTCTCTTAAAAATGCCTAGGGGATTACATAGCACAGAAATCAAGGTTATTGTAATTTTCCTTGCATTCATCTTTGTTCTCCTGTCAAGTTGCGTCAAAAAAGTTTCGTTTGTTCGCCGCTTTATCGACCGCTCTATGCACCGCTTGCTCTCTCAGGATATTTTTTTTCCAGAGAGTTTGTGTCAGTTCGACCAGAATGAGAATTTTCAATCATATCTTCTTGTTACTCACCATATTAGTGGTACGTTGACCAAGCAAGACATGACTTAGTTTGCGATTTTACACCTTAGGCTTACTGTGCAGTACTTTATTCCTTACAGGTTTTCTCTGCTGTGGTTGCTGAAGTAGTCCACCACATATGCCGTGTGCCGCCGCTTCCACCAGACGTTGCTGAACAAATTCGGAAGTGGGGGCAAAAATTAAAAATTAAATCGGGACATTGACACTTCGTGCTCGATTGTCGATAAACCTTGGCATTGTGATTCAAGTTGTGATACAGTTTATAAGCTGTGGACCAAGGTTGGCAGCAAGACTTCATTATGCGATAAGCCAACGTTCCGGCGGTCCGTCCGCCTTTATTAAGGTTTTATGAAAGATCGAGACTTTAAGAACTGCCCGCCTAAACGTCCTGAATGGCAATAGATTCAGTTTAGTTATGTGATAGAATGGCAGAATAGATATTGAAAGCCTGACTTTAGCCTTGCCAAATCGGGATATAAAGACCGAACAACCAGTACTGCGCTGCAATTGCGCTATGAGTGAGTATGATAGTCAGTGTCAAAATGACTATACGGTTACCATGCGTCACCTCCGCTTCGCGGAGGTTCGCACTGGCTCTGCTATCGGTATGCCTTTCTCGTGCTCGCATAATGATGACTTTGAAACTCATCGTGCGATGCTGAACATCACAATGAATTGTAAACAACGTTCAGTTTCGAAGCATCTCCATGTAGGGTCGGTAATTTTGAGAAAGAAAGCTTTTTTTGCAAAGGAGCAATTGCGAACTCGAACGGGTTACTGAATTTATCTTAATTTGGTAATCGTCATAAGGACGATAGTCACCTTGATCTACATTTCCTTGCAAAAATCTTTTCATTTTCAAGGTAAAGCCTTGCCAAATCGACTATTCACGCGATCACCACTTTTTGGCGCTGTTTTGCAGGAAAGCAAACTTTTTGAGCAATTTTGGGCTAGAATTTATGAGGCGCAATTTTACTTGTCAGACAAATCATGACTTTGCAAAAAGTCGCATTGGCGACTTAATTTCGCGAGCCACAAGTGGACCCGTTTGACGCGTAAATTTTGAGGGAGTCGCTTATTGAAACGGCTCTTCTTGTACATAGTGACCTAGTGGACAGTGGTTGCATATCCCAACTTATGTGATACGTCCTCAATATGCTAAAATTTGGATAGCACAGATTCTTTTTGCAAATCCTGTCTTCGGAACATAATCCATTTCACATCCTTTTAATGAGAAAAAAGCTATGTACAATCCGAATAGTTCAAAAATTGTCATTCAGAAATAAGTAAACGTATTTCTTGTTGAGGAAGTAGCGTCAAGTTAGGTTAAGAAAGAAGCAGTATATTGCAAAAGATTTACCATTGCAGCAGAACCAAACTTTTTTTTTGATATTTGGAGGATAACCAAGTTAAGTGGGCCACTGACAATTAGGCCTTAACGCGAAGCCCATAATTCTGCCCCTTCTAATAAATCATAGGGTGCATTCCAATTTTGTGGATTAAACCACTAGAAAGCTTGTCAGTCTTAGTAAAACATCGTCATGTGCTTGGAGTAAAGTTTCTTTTTTGATGATACACAACCGATCATCAAAAGTCGAACACAGGCAACCAGCGAGAAAGCTATATTGCATGCGACACGGTTTCTGTTGTGGCTTGAGAAACGACTTGAGTGATTCCTTTGCTATCCGAGAGGACAAACTGAGAATAACCATACATCACAGCTAAATATACCAAATGTATTCACATCAACAAGTCAATATCACTAACATATCATTCCTCAACATCTCCCTCCTAAACAAAACTATTTTATGTCTTCTTCTTCTTCATCAGATGTCAACCATGATGTTTCTTGAATGATGATGTCTCGAAGTCTGGTGACATAGTTGGGTTGCGATCTGACTGCGGTATAGTATCTGCAATACGATGTTGGTTTCTTCGGCTTCTCAGCTTTGACTGATGTTTTCGTTGGCTGCGTTGGTGCTTCACGTCGTTTCTGCGCATTTGGTTGGTGTTTTGGAAAAATTTGTGACTCGTACACTTGTTCGACTGCCACGCTGTGTCGCCGAAGTCGACTACAAAAAGTTTTAGCGGTGTCGCCTAGATGCTGTAGATTGTACATACATTTGTGTTTGTTTAGCCTTATATCGTAGTGGTTAGAAGAGTCCCACGAGGATCAGCCGGACAAGTCATTGCAACCTCACCTCCATCACCTTATCAGTGCTATCTTCAGTCAACAATGACTTTCGCAAGTAAACAAGCCCAAGGGTATAAATACCGATGGAAGAGTGAGGTCGGGGAGTCTCTCCACAAGTGCCTGCTGGGAGGACGACAAGTCTCCGGCTCACCAAGGGGATTCTCTCTACAAGTAGTTTGCTGTGAGGACGACAAGTCTCCGATAGGCAATCTTCCTCCAAAAGTCTTCTCCGAGTAACATTAAATCCAACAAGTACTCTGGACCAGGAGCATCAAGTCTCCTGTGCACCAAGAAGTCTCTGAGGGATCACAAGTATCCTAGGAAGCAGTCCGAAGATTGACACGTCCCTGGAGACACTTCACACATCTACATCTTTAATGTTTGTAATTGTACCACAATTAAGCCTTGATTCTCAAGTCTGAGGAACCATACAGACCCGCGTGGCAACACTAAAGCAACCTCACCACTAATCATCCCTTTGCTACATGGTGCATCGGCTAAAAATAAGAAGACCTACTTTCAGTACAGGTTAGTTTAAACCATTAGGTTCTGCGCAGCTGTTTTCACAAGTTCTTTACAAGTGCTCCAGCTATTCGCTGCATACCGCAGTTAGAAATTAGCTCGGAGTTCAGCGCAAATATCTCCGCTTCCAACTTTAAACACAAGTCCCCTACTTGTAGTAGACGATACTAGGCTCTATCTAAATCGCAACTTCTCAAAATGTCGATAAAAACTACGGTTTCCCAACGAATGTTGACTCAATACTCCAACAAGTTGGACAGAATTATTTCACAGTTTATAGAAGAAGGAACACATAAGCTTAGTACTTCCGAAACCGAATCAAAAACAATGGTCCAAACAAAAGGCTATAGCCAACGCCTGGAGGAAACCGTTGGCACTATAGCTGCCACCTCCAAAGTCGAATACGCTCTTCAAGAGTTTGGATTTTTGAGTCGGCCGGAACCGAACGAGCCGGAAGACTTCGAAGAGTACGTCGCAAAAGCGGAGTCGTCTCTTGCAATTGCATTTGACTATGTACTCACACTACAAGGCCGAAGTTGCGCTTTAAGAGCAAGCAATACTATGATAACTTCTAATCAGCATGAAGAACAGTGCGCCGTCACGAACGTTCAGGCAAAGAAGGTGGAACTTCCTGCTATACCCATACCCTCGTTTGGAGGAGACATATGAGAATGGGACAACTTCTGGGAACTCTTTGGTACCAGTGTCCACTTCCAAGACGTACCAGAGCTGTACAAATTCCACTATCTTCTTAACGCTTTGAAAGGAGAAGCTCGCGAATCAGTCAGAAAAATCCAGATTACAAGTGGAAATTACTCGAAAGTAGTAAACTTTCTCCTTCATAAATATGGAAATCGAAAAGAAGTCATACAACGTCTCATCAAAAAATTTGAAGAATGTTCTCCATAATCGGCCTCCCTGAAAGATCAGAGACCTCTTCTCGAACACTGGAAGCGATTATGGCTCAGCTGGAACATAAGGGAAAATGTTGGTGGTCAATGGATACAAGAACTATCCTTATAGACAAGTAAGGAAACTCAACAAGCACAAGCTAGTTCTGTGAAGACAGAAACGCAAAAAGGATCGCTCAGGATTACATTCGAGTGTGCATGTACTGCGGCAAAAATCACAAGTCCATCATATGCACAAAGTATTCATCCCCAAGGACGCGTTCACAATACCTACGGGGTCACAAATTGCGTCTAATCTGCGCATCTCCGAAGCATACGAGCACCCACTCAGATAGTCGCCGGGGGTAGGCGGCCAGGCGATTTATGGGCGGGCGGGCGCCGGAAAAACAGTTCGCCGAATTTTGGACGAACGCACGGAGAACAATCGCGGTTTCCTTATAGATTAGCTGCAGCGTAGTGGCCGCATTCTCGCGGACTTTCCGCGAGAATATGCAGAATTTTCGAGGGCCGCACGGTCCTTTGTGGAGGACCGCGCAGCCCCCAGGTACTTTCCGCTGAGAGAAAGTACCTCAAACTTGAGTAATTAAACCATCGACGACGTCTTTGCCATGTAGAGTCTCACCTTTGCTCGGCGTACGCCCGAAACTGCTTGAAAACCGTCCAAGAGTCAGCTGAAATTTTGACCAGCGCTCGCTGAAAGAGATTATTTGACGAGCACCCGCCGAAAACTGTATTCTGCGCCGCTAGCAGGACATTCGACATTAAAAGAGGTACCGCCGGCTGAAGGTTTGGCCACGCCCCAAAATTCTGCCGGCCGCCTGCAAGAAAACGCGAGTTTGCGGACCGCCTGCCACCCGCAATTATCTGAGCAGTGCCTGAAGCGTAAGTGCTTCAACTGCCAAGGACCATCACACGTCATGCTTGCGAAGGCACCCGTAGATACGACCTGGTCACAGTCAGAACACAGAGTGACCCAGAAAAACACTGAAAGACAAATGCGATCAAAAGTTTTTCACGAATCAAACCGTCAAAAGAAGTAAACCACCTACTGCATGAAGAAGAGAACACTAGAGAAGACACAGCAGTTTACGAACTGTGGTCCAATCCCGAAGAACTCGGCTTATGTCAAACAACCTTTCTACCCACAGGAGAACTCACCGTACTAGACAAGAAGCATAATACACTGAGGAAAGTCTGCGTACTATTTGACACTGGTGCTGAGGCAACCTTCATAGACGAAGCGCTAGCGACCATCTACAACTTTCTACGATTCGGAAACAAAATTTGCGATTTACATACCTTTGGATCCAAAAAGATACAAGAAAAATCCTGTTCTCTGGTACAGCTGAAGGCGTGGGACACCAGAGGCGATGAGATCACGATCGACCTCCTTACGCATAACATAATATCTTAACCTTTCGAAAGTCTGCATTGTTCAACAAAGACATCAACCACCTCCGCGAAAAGAATATCGCGCTTGAAGCGATTGGGATCAAGAGGAAAGTGAAACCGCAAATTGTGCTGTGATGAGACAAATTATGGTCCTTCATCAATATTGACAAACCTCAACGTCGCCTGCCCTTCGGGTTACACCTTATTGAAACATAGATGGAC